GGGGGGGGGGGAGGTCCTAATTTGTAGTGCTTGCTAATTTCCATGGTGTAAATACTCCCTCCAGGATTGATTTCAAGCTATCAACAATTTAACAATCAGCTCCCAAAATTCCTAAAAATTTAACAATCGACTCTTGCAGTAGGAACTAGCTCTAGCTCACCACTGAAACCAACATCAAGGGACGAGTCACAGTTTTTTTGGTTAGTTGTGTTTGAATTGCTATAGGTTCAATAATGGCTGAAACAAGCAGATTTGGGTATTTTAAATCTTTGGTCATGTATAGATTTTTAGTGAAATTATAACTAATTACCAGAGGGGAATTTGGTTCAAAACTATTCTATGAGACAAAGTTATGTATTATTTTCAAGTTATATTAAATATAGTTATAACAATATGGTAATATTGAAAGTGCTTGTGTTGCTAAAGTGTTAAGTATATTTAATTGTAAAATACCACTCATCCTGTAATAAGGCATATGTAAAAAATTATTCTTAATCATAATATTTAAACCAAAATGCAAAAGGATACTTTTTTCAGTGATTGTTTTAGTCATTATTATTAAAATTTGACTTTTCTTACAGGTATTCAAGAAGGAACACAATGTACCAAATGTAAAAATAACTGGGCACTGAAGTTTTCTATTATATTATTATACATTTTGTGTGCCTTGCTAACAATCACAGTAGCCATTCTGGGATACAAAGGTAAGTACTCTTTCCTTTTTCCTTCCAAGAAGCAAGTTTCCCTTCATTTAACATGATAAAAACCCATGTTTACAAGTATGAAGTATTTCATGAATTCAACTCAGATGCAAAACTAAGCAACATCCTAAACTCCATCTTGGTGTCTTCAGCTTCTTTTAGCTGTGGGATCTGGAAGGCGAAAATAGCAATTCCTTTAGACTCATTTTAACAATAATAATAATGGCCCTCTCTGAGTTATAAAGATCTTTCCTCTTTGTTGTTTTTTCCTACCTATTTCCAGCTACTCCATCTTCCTCTTGTTTTCATCTTATCTCTAAGAGTCCTGTGGAAACCCTGGAGTCAGCACACAGGAAAACTATATTGAAGAGGAGAAGCCAAACACAAGACCTCCAGAGATATGACTTATTTCACCCAGGCACTGGCCAACTAATTCCCCTTTTTTCTCTTCAGCACATTTACTGTGGTCACTGTTGTTTATATAGCTCCATAAAAATATTACCCTGTAGAAATGAAACACAGAACAGCACCACCACCCCAATTACACTTTATGGAACATCAGACATTCTTTCAATGTGCCTGATTTAAGGTCAGTGGAGGATTTTTGCCTGAATCCTCCAGACTTGCAGACAAAGTGGGTTCCCCCCTCCCCAAGCCCCATCCCTGGTCCAGACACCACAGGTAGAAGGTGTCATGATGCAGAACCATGAACTACATAAATCCTTTTATAGAAAACGGCCATGGAAGCCTTCCTGTCAAAGACACGTGAGGCAGATGTGTCAGCTGGTTTCAGCAAGAGGCAGGCATGGGGTCTGCTGATCTTCAAAATGCTCACTCAGCCACCGTCTCAGCTGCCTTCCCTCAGAAGTGACAGGTTAACAGTGGAGAATCCACACGTTCCCTCTCCCTTCCTTGGCCTGTAGACTTGGCCTAGGAAGAGAAAGATTCAGTGTGAGTTCCCTCCCACGTGTGACTCCTCCCACCTCTCTCCCAGTGTTCAGTGGTTTCCTGAGGAAACAGTGTACTGGAATGAGAATGGGTTTTGGAGCCAGAAGGTCCTGGATCAATTATGGATTCTGCCATTTGTAGTATAATTGTGTTTATTAAGTGCTTGCTGGAATGCCAAGCACCTTGCTAAATCCTTTGCATGGCTGTGTAACCTCAGTATGAATCATAACCTCTTAGTGTTTCCAATTTCTTATCTGTAAAACGGCAGTTACAATGCCACTTTTCAAGGTGATTGGGATGAGCAAATATGATGTAACTGGACCACCGGTCCTATAGTTGGTTCCAATAGATAAGTGGCTATTCTCTGTCCCTTCCTTCTTTATAACTTCATTTATATAGCTATATCCATTAGAATGGTAAAAATGTGTTAAAAATTACTTCGTATAGTTGAGGCTTGTTAAGTCCCACTTCTAGCAACATATACATGGAAAAGTTAGGTGCTTCCTGTAGTATGCTGACTGATGAATTTGAGCAATGGCAATTTGGAAAATTACCAGGTCAGTTTATCCATTTGTGATGAGTTAATCTAACCTAGGATTAACAAAGTGATTAAAAAAGGCTGCTTCATCAGTACAAGGGCTGGACAGAGGTGGGGGAGGGAACTTAGTGGGGGGAAAGGAGGGTTTTTATGTCCTAGGTAATTTAGACTGTCCACCTTTACTAGTTTATTTAGGTCATTACTCACTTCTCCATGACTTTTCCTAGAAAACCCAGATAAAGGAGAAACTTGGATTCAAACAGCCATTTAATAAATATCTTTAGGGCTCAGTACTGTGTGATATCATGAAAGTAAACATTTCCTACTAAAAGAGAGATGAGAAAGGTTTGAAGACCACACCACCATATGGTATTTTGTAATTTTTACTTCTGCAAGGAAATGAGGTCTAGGATCTTTGTACAGAAAGATCCAAAGGAGAGTTTTTTTATTTTCTCCGTTATAACATTGGAAAGCCCTTCTCAGCTCTGGCTTTGTGTGTGCTGGTTCATTTGTCTGGAAAACCTTTTCTCTGCTCTCCACCTAAATGATTCCTTCTTCCCTTATGTCTCACATGTCCTGCAAGGAACCCCTAACGGCTGAGTTAGGCGCCCTCCTGTTTGTTCCCACAGCACCTTTTATTTACTTCTAGACACTGTCACACTGTATCATGGCCAGTGGGCTTGTTTGTCTTACCATCCAAACTATAAGTCCCATGAAGACAAGATACTGTCTTTTATTTGGTATATCTCCCACTAGCACTTAGCCTCATGGTATTTAATAGCTACCCAATAAATGAGAGGATGGATGGGTGGATGAATTGTGGATTAGGGCTGACTTCTACAAGGCATTCAGTCAATGCCCAGGGAACTCTAAGCCAGTCTGCTCTTAAGGAATTGTGGCAACTTAAAGCCCTACCTAGAAACCTGAAATCCTAGAGATCGGCTTGGCCTGCTCTGGAGGGTGTGATCTGACCAGGGAGAAGGGGGGAAGGGACTGAGGGAGCAAGACAAGTGCAGGCACGATGACCCTCTTGCCTGTCTTTTTTCTCCTTCAAGGCGCCCATCCCTCAGGCCTCTACTGACAAAAATAAGATAATACAACATGCAATTTTGGTTTCCAAGCACAGCCTTAATGAACTAAAATGTTGATATTTTCCAGATGTGTTTTCTCTTGTACAGTGGGTCCTCTTTCTTGCTGATAAGATGCTGGTGACTCCACATTGTAAGAGACAGAAAGATAAGACTCGGTTTTCCTTTCACAAGTCTCCTTTCAAGTCTAGAGAAACTGCATTAAAAAAACAAGAAGAAAAAAATATTCAGTGAAAGAAGATATTTCTCTTTAGGAGAATTTGAAAGGAAATAAAATAGAAACTCCTTTTTAACCGGAGTTAGCAAAGGCAACTCCATATGTTTTCGTCAAAACATTCTTTACTTCTGTTATGTCACTCACACAGCTACCAGTTAGGACATCACTTAAGTTCCTTCTAGAGAATCTGCTGAGCCAGTCAGAGGACTGCTGAGTCACCCAGACAGGTCCGTACAGTGACTGTGACCAGGAGGCTCCTCAGCTGCTTTCCAGAAAGCATGTTCTTGGACACCTGCAGCTTGGTGTGTCCTCTGCCCTGGGCTCTCTATCATCTGTCAACGGAGCTTCTGTGGCAGAAGCCATCTCTTCGGTTCAGTAGGTCGTGTTTCCTCCAGAACATTCCCTGAATCCTACCCACTTGTCCTACCTAGAAGGCATCCATCGTAAGGTAACTACGATGAAGAAGGACAGAAATCTGGATCTTTCTCAGGAAGGCTCTCCTTTAACTCAGCATTCCTGGTCTTAGGAAGTCCACCTTGCTTCTGAGCTGTGCCAAAGTAGAAATGACAAAGCAGACTTTCAAAATGTGCATCAAATATGCACAAACTGTACACAGTAATACCCTACAACCAGATCTTCTGTATTTTTGTAATGAAATCTGAGTGTTCAAAGTGGAGATGTCTTTATTGCATTCCAGGGGAGTATAGTTGGAGTTACTGGGAAGTCCCAGGTACCAGTGAGGGGATGTGTTTCCCCTCAGTATCACAGTCAGTCTGGCGTAGACACTCGTGAGCACCAGGCAGGGGCTGTGCTCTGCTCTTCTTCTCTGTCCTCAAAGACTGGGCCGTGAGGTTGTGCTCTCACTGTCTCCACTATGTCACATACATGAAGGATGCTTAGTGAACACCTGAACATGATGACTGTAAAGAGAAGAAAACAAAACATAATCCTTCCCCTCAAGGGATTTTTATTGGAGAAAGCCAGATTTAGGAAGAAGAAACACTAAGTGAGAGGCAATGTGGACTTATAGAGAGAGCATGGATTGTGGAGTTAGATGTCCTGGCCACTTAGTCACTTACAAGCTGTGTGACTCTGAGCAAGTTACTGAACATCTTTGAGCCTCAATTTCTTCATCTGTAAAACAGGAGTTGTGAGGATTAACTGCAGAAATGGTGCAGTGCATGTTGCAAAGAGTAGGCACTCAATAAATGGAGGTTGTTATTGTTGCCATTCAGATGAAAGTTCAGTGGTGTGGTATGGAATCAAATTACCAGGGAAGGCTTAGCACAATGGGATGGCTAGATGTGGAGTAGACCTTAAAAGATAGGTGAAATCAAGACGAGGAGGAGGTCAGTGGTCCAGGCCAAGGGATGATACCGAAATCCTTTTGTAGAAAAGGTATTGTCAGGTTATCCTAGTGAATTTGGCTTTGGGTACTTGAAGAGTGACATCCTTTCAGGTGTAACACCTAAGGCACTGATGATCTGAAGAAAAATTCTCTGTCAAGAAACAATCTCCAATAAAGGGGAGCCCATGAAAAACCCTTCTGAGTTTCATGTTTGTTTTCCTCATATGAGAACGATCTACAAACTGAGGTCTACTTCTACAGATTGGGGGTTTCTAGGGTAAGAAAGGATGGCTCTGCCATTCTTAGAATTTGTACTAGTAAGTTAAAGAGTAAAAACCAGTGAAAACGTTGTGTGCTATTACAGCAAGCGTTGGCTCTGGACCTCCATCAGCATAGTATTTTTATGCAAAAGCAAGTTGCCAGCTTTGCAACTCTAAAGTTTGTAGTAGCTTTATACGCAGATCCTGTTTTTAAGCACAGACACACGCCCCAGGCCCCAGTGCATGGAACCAGTTCATTAGCACTTGTGGGCAGGTTAAATCACTTTCTTGCTGCACTGAAGAGAAAATTCGCAGGGCTGGGTGTTTTTTTTTATGAATATGTATTTTTTAATTCTACAGAAACCTAAATTATCTGTCTGTGACAGTTCTGTGTCTTTTAAAACTAAAATGGAAGAAAAATTGGAAAGGATAGAAAATGACTACTGCCTGTCAGCATATTTAGAGGTTTCTTTGGCTTCCAGGAAAAAAAGGCAGGACTTAAGATCCTGTGTGTGGTTTGAGGACAGACGGAGGCATATGTTTTGATTTGAGGATCAGAACTGAACCTAAACTTATAAACATTCCCTATTTTATTTTTTTAAAAGTTTAGCTTTGCTAAAATGCAGATGATACAGTTTGTTCTTCAGAGTTTCCAGGGATTAGGAGCATGCATGCCCATCAAACAGCCCTAAGGTGCAGATTACCATAACTATACCTCTCTGGCTGTATAGTCATTTTAAAAAAACAATAATTATTCAACTAGATGTCATACTCATTGCCAGTGCTGAGGCTTCCCGGACTTGGGTGGTTTGTACATTTGTTTGCATGACCTCCAGCTCAGCGGATTTTTCATGGGCCTTAGCAGCCAGCAGGCAGACTCTCATTTATTTAAATAAATGGCATAAGGAAATATGTGTTAAACACCTAGCTGTAAGTACCACACATTGAGCTAAGAGCTGGAGATAAAACTGAATACAAATATTCCTGCCTTAAAGGATCTTGCAGTAAACAGGCCATGACAACACAGTCAAGTAAGTTCTGTAACAGAGAAGGGACTACTTGCCAAGAGAATTCTGGAAGGTGTATTTCACAGGAAAAGATGAGCTGAGTCTTGAAGAGTAAGTAGGTCTTAGCTTGGTGAAGAGACCAGGGAAGAACATTCTAGGTGGAAAGAAGAATGTGTGGGAAGGCTAGGGTGAGGAAGAGCATTTGGTGCAATGCACACGTGTCATTATGGACAGACTGTAGAAGCTTAAGGGAGAGTCTGACAGGCCTCTCCAGGGAAGGTGCCAGGAGCCAGGGAGCTGGTTCACTTTAGGTCATTCAGACACATGAGACTATATTTCTACTTCCTGATAGACACCAGGAGAATCTTCTCACACAATCATGGTTGGGCAGAACACTTGATGAATAAAGTGAACTGGACCCATTGGGTCACAACTAATATACAAAGGAAAGTCATGCTTAAAAAAATAAAGTTGTTATTTTAAAAAGCTGTTGAGAGCAAGGACAGTCAGACTTCATCCCAAGTTGCTAGATGTTGGATCTCACAGGAGTCACTTTCAGAGAAATACTCTCTTATTAGACATTTTAGAAAGATAAACTTTTATTCATAACTGTAGAGCATTACTGCCTCCCGAGAATAAATAATAACAAGCTTTTGTTTAACACTGCATCACTAACTTTCCCTATCATGTGTCATCGAGAGAATGCTTTTTAAATTCTTCTTTGTAAATACGGGCTTTTAACTGGGAGCTGATAAAGTACACATTTACTCATCACTAAGGAGAGCAGATTTTCAGGCCTCAGTGGTGGAACTCAACACAGAAAGTGGCAAACACTCTTGATTTTGCATCCCTTCTGTGAAGACTTTGTGTATAGATGACCTAGGTGTTCTTTGCCATAAAATCTCCTGCTGGCTGAGTCCTAACTGCCAGGGATGGTTGGGAGTGTGATGAGTAATGAAATTTTGTAAACGATCCCGGTGCTATGACTCCATCTTTGGAAATTAATACAAATGCTGCTCAATTTATGATGATCAGGTTATATCCCAATAACCCCGTCAAAAGTCGGAAATGCATTTAATACACCTAACCTACTTTAAACATGCTCAGAGCACTTACATCAGCCTACAATTGGGCAACATCAACTAACACAATGAATACACTGTGGACTACTGGTTGTTCACCCTGGTGTTTGCATGGCTGACTGGGAGCTGCGGAGGCATCACGAGAGAGTATCTTACCACATATTGCTAGCCCAGGAAGGATCAAAATTCAAAGTATAGTTTCTACTGAATGTGTAACACTTTTGCACCATCATAGAGTTGGAGACCATCTGTATAGGAAACGATACAGATTGAGGACTTCTATAATACAAAAAACTTACAAATCAGTTTCAAACAATTTCTAAAGCATCCCAGGCAATACCGAATCATGAGAATGATTAAAATCACCCAATTCTCAAGCTTACAAGTAAACTGCCACTGGGTTTTGAGACAAGTAACTCTTTTTTTTTCTGAAAGAATTGCTTTTCCCCACACAGTATTTGATTTCATTTATACCTTTTGTTTCAATCTGTTTTCTTTATTCTGCAATGAAATGATCTCTTGTTGAAACTGAGAAATAAAATTTGAGCAGGTATGTGTATTAATGAATTGATTTCCAAATCTTAGTTGTAGAGAAAATGGACAATGTTACAGGTGGCATGGAGACATCTCGCCAAACCTATGATGACAAGCTCACAGCAGTGGAAAGCGACCTGAAAAAATTAGGTAATCTGTTTGAGAGTGAACCACAAAGTTGAATCCCCTGACTCTACTTTATATAAATGACCACAGATTTCTAGAATGATGTTGCTATAAACTCACATTCACCCAAAAGGACATGACATTTTTGTGTTGTATGTTAAGTGATTTAATTCAAAGACTTTCAATTTTAAAAATAAGGGGCAATTTTGGAGTTGAATCCCCCTCAAGAATACCATTAGGTGTTCAAAATATCTGAAGACCAATTCTGATAAAAAAGAACCACAAATAATCTTTATTAAAAGCTCATTTATAAAATGTTCAGTAAATTCCTATTTGAATTATAGAAGAATCTCTGCATAGACTAATTATAGAGATTAATTTTAAAAATAAATGATTCTAGCCTGTTCCATCCTTTGATTTTTGTTTTCATTTTTAAAAAAGGAATTTTGGTGAATTTAACAAAGAATAGGTTATTCTCATCTTGACACCCTGCCTGGCGCTCTAGAATCAGGTACTCATTCTCTCTTTGAGAAGAGAAGTTAGTCCCAATACTCAGCACTCCTTCCAGTTCCCCAGGGCCCATTTTTAATATATATGTGGTTACACTTGAAACAATATAAGTTTATTAACTAGTGTCACCCCAATAAATTTAATTTAAAAAATAGATATGTGTATTTTACTAATGCAGAGCAATCTGCATATACCACAGATTTTATATCTTAAACACAGGGCATACTAGTTAAGTCTCTTTGGGATCTTTGACCTCACCTGAACACTTCTCCATATCACCAATCCAAGTAACAAACATATCTTATTCCAGGGGACCAAACTGGGAAGAAAGCTATAAGCACCAATTCAGAACTCTCCACCTTCAGATCAGACATTCTAGATCTTCAACAACAACTTCGTGAGATTACAGAAAAGACCAGCAAGAACAAGGATACTCTGGAGAAGTTACAGGCGAGTGGGGATGCTCTAGTGGACAGGCAGAGTCAACTGAAAGAAACTCTGGAGAATAACTCTTTCTTCATCACCACTGTCAACAAAACCCTCCAGGCATATAATGGCTATGTCACAAATCTGCAACAAGATACCAGTGTGCTGCAGGGCAACCTGCAGAGCCAAATGTATTCTCATAATGTGGTCATCATGAACCTCAACAACCTGAACCTGACCCAGGTGCAGCAGAGGAACCTCATCACTAACCTGCAGCGGTCTGTCGATGACACGAGCCAGGCTATCCAGCGAATCAAGCACGACTTCCAAAATTTGCAGCAGGTTTTCCTTCAAGCCAAGAAGGACACCGATTGGCTGAAGGAGAAAGTCCAGAGCTTGCAGACGCTGGCCGCCAATAACTCTGCCTTGGCCAAAGCCAACAATGACACCCTGGAGGATATGAACAGCCAGCTCAGCTCATTCACAGGTCAGATGGACAACATCACCACGGCCTCACAAGCCAACGAGCAGAACCTGAAAGACCTGCAGGACATACACAAGGATGCAGAGAACAGAACGGCCATCAAGTTCAGCCAGCTGGAGGAACGCTTCCAGCTCTTTGAGACAGATATTGTAAACATCATTAGCAACATCAGTTACACAGCCCACCACCTGCGGACGCTGACCAGCAATCTGAATGAAGTCAGGACCACTTGCACAGATACCCTGACCAAACACACGGATGATCTGACCTCCTTGAATAACACGCTGGCCAATATCCGTTTGGATTCAGTTTCTCTCAGGATGCAGCAAGATATGATGAGATCAAGATTAGACACTGAAGTAGCGAATTTATCAGTGATTATGGAAGAAATGAAGCTAGTGGACTCCAAGCATGGTCAGCTCATCAAGAATTTTACAATACTACAAGGTGAGTGAAAATTCTGAATTTATTTTTGTATTAGTTGTCTATTGGTGTATAACAAATTACTCGAAAACTTGGCAATTTAAAACAATGAACATTTATTTTCTCATAGTTTCTGAGGATCAGGAATTCAGGAGCAGCTTAGCTGATGGTTCTGGCTTGGTATCTCTCGTAAGGTTGTAGTCAAGGTATTGGCCAGGGCTGCAGTTGTCTGAAGCCTTAGCTGGGCCTGGAGGACCTACTTCCAGGGTGCCTCATTCACATGACCCTTGGCAGGAGGCCTCAGTTCCTCATCATGTGAAATTGCTTGAGTGTCCTCACAACATGGTAGCTGGCTGCCTCCAGAGAAAGTGATCCAAGAGAAAGAGCAAGAAAAAAGCCACAGTGCTTTTTATGATCTAGCCTCAGAAGTCACATACTGTCACTTCTCCCACATTTTGTCCTTTAGAAATGAGTGACTCAGTCCCACCCACACTCAAGGGGGAGGGGAATTAAGTTCCATGTCTTGAGAAGAGGTGTAACTAAGAACTTGTGGACAGTGCTCAAAGGTGCTCCATTAAATATTTGTTGAACAGAAGACTGGTTAATTTGGATTTTCTCAGTGCCTAGCTATTTCAACACCATTATAAATTGGACTTCTGTGGAAGCAAGATTAATTCTTTTAGGTCATGGAATTACCATTAAGAGATTCATATTTCCAAGTGTCAGGAACACGGATGGATGGCCATCCCAAGGAAGATTTGAGATGAGATTATTAAAAGGATAATTTGTGAGCTTTCAGGGAAGCAGCAATCATCAGAATGCGATCACTAAGAAGAAGGCAGGTGAACCTAACATTTCTTCACATTAACAGACTTAATAGATTAAATTAGTAGGATGGTAAATAGCATGTCTGGATTTCACTGAGGCATTTGACAGTGAACAAGATGGAGGCGCGGCTCTGTTCGCAAAGCACCCTTCCCCATGCCCTTCGTCCCGGCACCTTTTCCTGCTTCTCTCTTTCCTAAGCTCCAAGGGCCTTCTTTTGCCTCTGTAACTTATTTCCTGAGCCCATTTCTTCTACAGCTCACTTCTACCTCTCAAAAAAAAAAAAAAAAAAAAAAAAAAAAAAAAAAAAAAAAAAAAAAAAAAAAAAAAAAAAAAAAAAAAAAAAAAA